ATCCCTGACAAAAAATACATGCACCTCGCGTTGAAATCTGGATCGTGCGCGGCCATCCCGCGATCACTGTCAAGTGGTGGTTGACAGGGACGACGGGGGTGGTGGCGCGTGGCCTGTTTTGTGCAGGCCCACCAGACACAATGATGGGAGTTGGTCTTCGACAAGGGTGCCAGCGGCCGACATGTTTCCCGATGTGCGCTGTCACGTGCGCAGACGCACCTGACGCACTCCGCACGTGCCCCGAACGTGGCGCACCTGGCGCGGCTAGAGTGTGCGGCACACCTGGCGCGCTCGGAGTACGTGGCGCATCTGGCGCACCAAGCGTGCCTTTGGCTCCCAGTAGCTCTCCATCCAAATTGCGTGTTCGATCATGGACCCCTCGCCACGCATCTTGGCCTCTGAGGGCCGCCGAAAGACCGCCGAGAACAGCCAGCGAGCGCGCGCCCCGCCACGGGCGTTGGGGCCCGACACGGTATTCGGCGGTCTTCGGCGGTCTTTCGGCGGTCTTCGGCGGTTTTCGGCAGTCTTCGGCGGGCGTTCGGCGGTCTTCGGCGGTCTTTCGGCAGTGTTCGGCAGTCTTTCGGCGGTCTTCGGCGGTCTTCAGCGGTCTTCGGCGGTCTTTCGGCGGTCTTTCGGCAGTCTTCGGTGGTCCTTTGGCGGTTTTCGGCTGCCTGGACGGCGGCCCGACACGGTTTTCGGCGGTCTTCGGCGTGAAAGCAGGGCATCTCGCGTTAACAAGGGGTCCAAGACGACCGCTGAACATGCTCAGATTCATGTGTTGGGAGGACGGGTGGGAGTGAGCTAGACGGCTTGCGGGCGGGTGGGTAGCTTGACCCTCCCCCTACCCCCTCCCCTGGACCTGGACCTGGAAGGGGTTGGAGCGACCAAGATGGCCCAAGACGGTTCCAAGAGCGCCCCGGAGAGCCCAAGATGAGCTCCAAGATGGCTCAAGATATCCCAAGATGCCTCCCAAGATGCTCCAAGAGACCCCAAGACCGTTCAAAGACGGCTCCAAGTGGCCAAAAACCTCCCCGAGGAGGCCCCGAAGAGGCCCAAATCCTTCCAACACCTTATTACGGAAGGAACATCAGTGTGTGTTGCTTTCTCGCCTTTTCGCGTCCGATGGCCATTCGAGGCCTCAAGGTTGCTCAAAGATGGCCCGAGAGGGCTCCAAGAGAAGCTCAAGAGAGCCTGAAGACGGCCTCAAGAACACCCAAGAGCGCTCCAAGAGCCCCAAGAGCGTCACAAGAGGCGACATTCGGGGCTCCCGAGGGGCAGCGCTCCTCCAAATTTCGTAATAAAAGGGAGGGGGTCTGGACCCTCCAAGACAAGCCATTTCAGACCCCCCCCCCGTGGGAGAACCCTCCTAAACATCGTCCCCAGACCCCCCCAGGCCCTCCAAGATAGCCTGGAAGAGACCCCCACCCGAAATGAGACCCCCCTCCCTTTATTACGAAATCTGGAGTAATTAGAGCTCCCCTCTTGTTTGATCGATGCCCTCCAAGATGGCCCCACGAGGGCTCCCGAGGCTCCCAAGAGCGTCTCAAAAGGGCCCCGGGAGGCGCCTGGGGTGCCCCAAGAGGCGCCCAAGAGGCCTCCAAGAGGCCTCCCAAGAGATCCCCAAGAGGCCCCAAGAAGCTCCCAAGAGATCCCCAAGAGATCCCCAAGAGGCCTCCAAGAGGCGCCCACCCCGATGCACCCGAGACGCTCCAGGAGGCCCCCTGGACCGCCAAGAGGCCCCCAAGACGCAAGAGAGGCCCAAGAGAGGTCCAAGAGTGCCCCAATAGAGCCCAAGAGTGTCCCAAGAGCGCTCCAAGAGTGACCCTTCCTCTGTGTGCTGCCCACTTCCCTGATCGAGGCCGCTCCTCTGGGCATCGTCTCTGGATGGGCTGGTGAAGCTACGCGAAGCGTTTAGAATCGTGAAAACACATGGCGATGGTGAGGAGGAGCAACCGAGGGACAAGGAGGAAGCGGCGTACACTGGAGGCCCGTCCACAAGAAACCTTTTCACAAGAAACCCAACCCTGAGACCCCAGGACGTCCATCGATTCTTGGTGTGGGAGCGTCGCGCTCTCCATCGCAAAAGCATCGACACCCAAGACACCCAGGGCACCCTGGAGGCAAGCAGGGTGTTTGGCATGGGCCCCCCACTACAGAGGAGGGAGGAGATCAGGACGAGGAGGCGGAGCGGCGAGAGGGGAGAGGAGGCGAGGGGAGCACCATGAGGAGACCCAGAGCCAGCACGACGAGGTTTCGCTCTGCGCTCCGTCCTGGTCAGCGTCCTGGCAATCCTGGCCTCCTTCTGCCTCATGGTGTTCCTTCTCCTGCTCGTTCTGGTTCTCCCGCTCACCCTGCGCCCTTCTGCTTCCTCTGCCTTGTGCCTTTCCCCTTTTCTCCTGGTTAGTGTTATCCTCCTCGTTCCCGATCCTTCCCTTCCTGCTTCACTGAGGGGCAGCGACAAGGGGAAATACGCCGCATAGGGGGGCAGCATCGACCTCGAATGGCCGGTACATCGAGCATGTATCGTCGATACATCGCCGATGCGGAGCACCCCATGCAGCGTTTACGCATCATCGACGAATCGTCCTGGTATCAACGGTGCACTGCCGGTGCGTCAACCATTCAAGGTCGATCCGTCCCCCCATCCCCCCCCCCCCCATCATCGTCGCTCCCGCCTCACGCTCTGCTCCACGTGCCATCGCTCGGACGTCCGTTCCCCATGCATGTCTCAATGTCGTGCGTGTTGTGGTGTTGCCAGGTGATCCAAGCTGCTCCTCCGTGGTCCTCGCAGAGAAATGCGCACACGCTCGATGCCAAGTCCATGCCACCACCTCGTCCCCCTCCCGCTTCCTCTCCCTCCTCCGCCTTGTTCCTGCGGCTGCTGGTGCCTCTCCTCCTCCTCCTCCTCCTCCTCCTCCTCCTCCTCCTCCTCCTCCTCCTCCTCCCCCTCCTCAGACACTTCTCGTGCATCAGGCAGCAAGGTTATCGGATCACACTGCAGCTGAAAACGTGAAGTCGTATTACAAATGAGAGGGGAGGAGGTGGGGGACGAGGAGGACGAGGCGGAGGTGGACGAGGACAAGGGCGAGGAGGAGGGGGGAGGACGGGGGCACCCTGCCCCTCATCCTCCTTGGGGAGCGGGGTTCTGGGTCAAGAAGGGTGATCTCGACGGCTTCTGGGGCGGCTCAGGTCGAGCTTGGCGGCCTCAAGTCGGGCTGACGGGGGCCTCAGGTCTAGCGAAACCGACCTGATTCACCAACGAAGCACTCTGGCGGCCTCCTCCTCCTCCTTCTCCGCGTGGTGCGTGTGCAGCGCTGGTAACACACGCTGTTTAAAGTTAAACCGCGTTTTCGTTAAGCCAAATTTTTCGAGAAACCACAACAAAACAAACGCGCTGACGCAATTCGTTCACCGTTTCGTTTAATTATCCCGGCAAAGCAACCTAACTGCGATGTGTAGGAGCATATCTGGAAGCATTCCCCTTAAGATTCAAATGAGAATCCAGTTGTAGAATTCTGCTGTTCCCGCAGTCGTAGTCGCATTCGCGATGACAGTCGCAGTGGCAACAACAGTCACAGTCACAGCCTCAGCCTCAGCCTGCCTCAGCCTCAGCCTCAGCCTGCCTCAGCCTCAGCCTGCCTCAGCCTCAGCCTCAGCCTGCTTCAGCCTCAGCCTCAGTCTGCCTTCAGCCTCGGCCTCAGCCTCAGCCTGCCTCAGCCTCAGCCTGCATCAGCCTCAGCCTCAGCCTCAGCCTGCCTCAGCATCAGCCTCAGCCTCAGCCTCAGCCTCTGCCTCAGCCTCAGCCTCAGCCTGCTTCAGCCTCAGCCTCAGTCTGCCTTCAGCCTCGGCCTCAGCCTCAGCCTGCCTCAGCCTCAGCCTGCCTCAGCCTCAGCATCAGCCTGCCTCAGCATTCAAAATGTGGCCCGGGAATGGAAGTTCTGGGAACTCGAAGAACACGAAGTGGCCTACAGTTGGCTCCGGGCATTCAAAATCATGCCCAGGAATGGAGTTCTGGGAACTCGAAGACCACGAAGTGGCCTACAGTTGGCTCCGGGCATCCAAAATGTGGCCCGGGAATGGAGTTCTGGGAACTCGAAGAGCACGAAGTGGCCTACAGTTGGCTCCGGGCATCCAAAATGTGGCCCGGGAATGGAGTTCTGGGAGGTCGAAGAGCACGAAGTGTGTGACTGTTGGCGAAAAGCGAGCCCGGCTCTGTTCCCGGTTCTCCAGAATGTGTCCCGGGAATGGAGTGCTGGGAGGTCGAAGAGCACGAAGTGTGTGACTGTTGGCGAAAAACAATTCCCGGTTCTCCTCCCCGGCACCCGCCCAGACCCCCCTGTGGAGTCCAGATGCTCTCTTTTGACCCCACTAGAAACCTATCAGCAAAAGCTGTTAGGTAAAAACGCTGCCTGCTGAACCGAGACGGTTGCCGTCCAAAACAAATAAAACCCTCCCGAACAAAACGTGGCAACGCAAACCTGCACCATGTGTTTGTGCTTGTGTGTGACTCCTCCTCCTCCTCCTCCTCGTTCTCCTCCTCCTCCCCCTCGTGGTACGTGTGTGTGTGCGTGTGTGTGTGCGTGTGTGCGTGTGTGCGTGTGTGCGTGTGCGTGTGCGTGTGCGTGTGCGTGTGCGTGTGCGTGTGCGTGTGCGTGTGCGTGTGCGTGTGCGTGTGCGTGTGCGTGTGCGTGTGCGTGTGCGTGTGAGTGTGCGTGTGAGTGTGCGTGTGCGTGTGAGTGTGCGTGTGCGTGTGCGTGTGCGTGTGCGTGTGCGTGTGCGTGTGCGTGTGCGTGTGCGTGTGCGTGTGCGTGTGCGTGTGCGTGTGCGTGTGCGTGTGTGTGTGTGTGTGTGCGTGCGTGCGTGCGTGCGTGCGTGCGTGCGTGTGTGTGTGTGTGTGTGTGTGTGTGTGTGTGTGTGTGAGAGAGTTAGCGGTTAGCGCCAGCCTGCGGCTCCCGCTGCTCCTCGCGCCTCGCCTCACGGGGGGACGGTGGGCGGCTGGCTTCTTGTGGTCGGAGGCCGCTAGGATCTTCTCCCACGGGCTCAGGTCTACGGCGTCGTCCCTCGTCACGGGGATGGGGAAGGGCGGCGAACGGAACGGAGGGAGAGGAGGGATGGGATGGGATGGGAGAGGAAACGGAGGATAGAGAGGCGCGTTCAACTACTCGTAAAGTAACTATTCGCAAACGGCCTGAATCTGCCATTGGGGATGTACGATGCATTACGTCGGGGGGGCAGACATGCGGTTTTCAGACGTTTGCGAGTGGGCACTTTGCGAGTAGTGGAACGCGCTCGGTGAGAGGAGGGAGGAGTGGGAGGCGGGGATGGAAGGACATGGCCAGCGCCTAGACGATAACAACATGTCCAATCAGAGGTATGGCCCACGCACAGGCTGGAGCATCAGTCCCGTGAGGGCGTGCGGGCGGGCGGGCGGGCGGGCAGGCGGGCGTTCGGGCGTGCGTGCGTGCGTGTGCGTGTGCGTGTGCGTGTGCGTGTGCGTGTGGGTGTGGGTGTGGGTGTGGGTGGGGGTGTGGGGGTGCGGGGGTGTGGGGGTGTGGGGGTGTGGGGGTGTGGGTGTGTGGGGGTGTGGGTGTGTGGGGGTGTGGCCCTCTCAGAAGACTCGGAAGTCCCCCGGTTTTCTGAGAAGTTTTCTGAACCTACCCCGAAAACACAAAAAGCTCCCCGAAGGCGCGAGGGCTTTTGAGAAGCCCCGCCGCCTTCTGAGACGGCCTTTTTCTTCTCACTCCCCCCCCCTCGCTCGCCGCCGAATCACGCACCACGACCACGACGACGCCGACGCCGCAGACCAGGCGCGCTAACAGTCCGCACCGGAGCACGGGGCCAAGCCTGCGAGGTGTGGTGCGCAGCACATCGTTGAGTGGTGCAACTACCTCCCCTCGAGCACCAGACCCCCGCGGAGCAGCAGGAGGAAGACGTGGATTGTACGGAGTTTCTCTTGCCATCGCTCGGATGTTTTCCATTCCCCGTGCATTTGTTGGTTTCGCGCGTGCAAGATTGATACTTCTCGATGGTCCTCGCCGAGAAGATATGCACACGTCCGGGCGATGTCAAGTTCTAGAGAGTAGATGGATGATTTCCCAAATGATTCCTGCCATCACGTGGTGGGAACTGGGTGGCCCTTTGCGTCAGAGACCCAGTTAGACTTGGCACAGAGGGGATGAAGGAAGGAGGAGCCCATGGAGTAGGACGATAGCGTGCGGCGGGGATGCGGGAGAGAGAGGAAAATGAGGGGAAGAATGAGGAGGGGGAGGTCCCCGGAAATCTCTAGGGGCCTCCAATTGACCGGGACGGCCAAGACCGCAGCTGTGGCAAGCCGAGTTCTTCCTCCAGTTCCATTTGTAGCCACACGAGCGACACTTGGCGTATATCGCTGCTTCTGGCCTCCAGACTGCTCAACCCTGTTCCCATTGCCACCCATACGCAATGCCGAAGGATTGAAAGCCTGCCCCGCCAGGAGCGAACGATGGTGCGGCTCCACCAGGAGCTCACGAAGTTGGACCAAAGGGGCTGCCCTTCCACCTCGGCCTCGAGCCTTTGGAATCGGGACCCTCAGGATGTTAGCTCCGTGGGACTTGGGCCGAAATGGCTACGGGAAGGAAGGGGAAGAGGAGGGGGAAGAGGAGGAGGAGGAGGAGGAGGAGGAGGAGGAGGAGGAGGAGGAGGAGAGAGGCGGAGGCGGAGGAGAAGGAGGGAGGAGGAGGAGGAGGAGGAGGAGGAGGAGGAGGAGGAGAAGGAGGAGGAGGAGGAGAAGGAGGAGCAGGAGGTGATGGGGGAGGAGGAGGAGGAGGAGGAGGTGGAGGAGGAGGAGGTAGACGACTCCCGAGGGAGGGGAGAGGAGAAGGAGGTCCCGCCCCACCCCCACAGCGAACACCCGAGGGAGGTGCCCGCAGCGGTGGAGGTGGGCCCACACAGTGCCCGCGCCGCTGGCGCGCATCCGGGGCTGGCCTCACGCCCCAGAGGGTGCCTCAGATTCAAAACACTCGCCCCCGACAGCGTTGGCGCTGGCCCGGGCAGCATCGAAGGCGTACGCCTCGCGTCCGAGCTCCTCCGCCCTAGCGCGCGAACGAAAACCGAAGGCCCACAAGGCATCGCTTATGGCCATTCGGGGGTATTCACTGCCCCACCGCATCGGTTGGTCTAGGGCCGCGCGGCGCGCGTCAGGCACCCTCGTTGCCTGCGCCGCGTCGGGCCCAGAGAAATGCTCCCTTAACTGCGCGCGCAGCCCCGCTGATGGCCCAGCCAATTCGCCTATGCGGGCGCGCCACGCGTGGTGGGGATGAACGCCTCTCTCGGCCCTGCAACGTATGCTCTGCGCCCCGGGGGTGCGACCTCCCGTGGGCGAGCATTCTGCCTTGAGACCACGGCCGACTCCTTGGCACGTGGCGTGCCCAAAGCAACGCGTACAAATCAGAACATGCGAGCTCGCTCCCTTTGGGCCCTGCGCCGCTTGCTCCCATTCGAGCACTGGTGCTGCTAAAAAGGCGTGGCCTTGCACCCGCCATGGTCCTCGAGACGGGCCGCCAGCCTCGTCGAGGCCCCCTGGGGGCACAGCAGGCCGGTCATGAGTGTCCCCGCCGCCCCCCTCACCGTCACTCCCCGACACAGGCCAGATCGCTTCCACGACAACCGTGCGTGTGCGGCCTCGAACCCCTGATGGTCTCAAACCCCCGAGGCAGAGAGCACGGCCTCCAGCCTACCTGTGAACCGCGTGAGGCGCCGAGAAATTTCTAGGCACCCTCGCAGGAGGTTTCTGTCTTCCTCCCGAAGGCGGCCCAGCGACGCTCCTCTCTTAGCTACCTGATCGGCGGCATGGTTGCCGTCCCTCTGCCATGCCGTGATGCGGCCCTCGACGACGTCGTCCCACGTCGAGTGAGTCTTAACCTTACAAAAAGAAACATCATCGAGGCCGCCGCCACCAGCGGCCTGCTGCCACAGGTGCGCGCGAGCCTCGGAAGGGCCCTGCGCGCAAGCGAAATTCTGCCCACAAGACACCGTGCCCTGACAATCAACATGCATTGTGTACCTACCGGCCACGTGCCGAGACGCCACTAGAACGGCATAGTCTTCGCCATCCCGCGCGCTCTGTCCTGGGCAGAGCTCGCGCGGGACGGCCCCGTACAACTTGCCAAGGGGCCTAAATTGAGCATCGAATGCGGCGAGGCCCCACCCCGCCGAACGAAGCGTAGGCCACTCGGCGTCAAAACACGCTCCATCTGGGAACACGTGCCCCCCATCCAGCATGAGACCTGTCGCTGGCCAAGCTTCCGCTCGAAGCTCCGCTCCTGGAGGGAGGGGGCGACGACGGAGGTAGAGGGATGGGTCGGGCAACAGAGCGCGAGCGAACCTCTCCCCCGGCTCCCGGCCCCCCTCCCGCGCGACATCGGCCGCCTCGGCCAGATCAGCATCGAGATTGTCGGCCCTCCAGGCCCGGTGGGCCGGACACCGAAAAAATCTGTGATGGAGCGTGCCGGCCTCTGCCCAGCAGCACTGGCACAAATCCGAAAGCCCCAGCCCACCCTCCACCCTCGCGAGTCGATCCTGGCACCAATGCGTTCCAAGAAGCAGGCCGCGCTGCGAACGCTTGTGGTGGACTGTCCACCCCTGGCTGGGGGGGGGGCAAAAAACAACTCGTTGAGCGGCCGCCAGAAGACCGGCCCAATCCATGCCTGCTCTCCTGGTTGCAGGATGCGCCGCATGGCGTTACATCCGAAGCAGTTCTGCACGCGTGCTTCACCTTTTCACTAAAAAATGCAGGCGAAAAAACTCGAGCGTCCCACTTCTGGCTAAGCTCGTCGACGATCACGAAGGGGGAGGCGAGGCTCCAGCCGACGCGCGAGAGGGTCAGCACCAGCGCCGCGACGGGGTCCTTGACCTTGGACCACGCCGCCCTTCCTGCCGCAATCACACGTGCGCCTTCCAGCAGGGTCTGCAGGAGCGCCTCCGTGAACACCCCCTGCCAAACCATCTCCACGTAGGTCTTGATCGCGAGCGACGTGGTGAGGACGAGCGGGTCGCGCCTCCAGCCTGCCTTCCAGCTGGAGACCGCGAGGCCGAGGGAGGCCCCGCGGGCCAAGCGCCCCTCGGCCCTCAGCGCAGCCAGTCGCAACCCCTTCAGCTCGCCGTTGGGGACGCCATGTATGACCGAGCCCCACACGCCCACGGCACTGGGCCCCGCCACGTTTGGATCATTTGCAACCCTCCATCCTGACGAGTGCTGGGCAGAGTTACTACGAACGTGCGCGGCGCAGATGCGAGAGCCGCAATTTGAGCACGACCAGCCGGCCATGCTTCTATGACGAATGCGAGCGGCACAGCATCGAGCGCCTCACTTTGAAAGCGTGCAGGCCTCCATCCTGCTAACGGCTGCAGGCTGTTGAAACTCATGTGCGCGGCGCAGAGGCGAGAGCTCCGAATTTGAAAACGCATCCCTCGGAGTCCTGGTAAGTGGCGCAAGCTGGTGCAACTAATGTGCGCGACACAGAAGTGCTTACCACTTTGAGGCACCACTGCAATGATGTGCGCGACACAGAGACCCGCCCCCGTTCCCACACACCCTTGCAACTGTTGCAAACGTTGAAGGCGAATGAGCGCGGCACTACGGCTGGAACGCCATGCCGTCCGTCACCCTTTCATCGTGGTAACGGCGGCTAGCTTCGAAAACCGATGCGCGTAGCACACAGGCGAGGTTCCCATGTTGAGAGCGACCCGCCCTGCACCCGTGCAGCTGGCACATACGCAAGGCTTCAAGATCATCAGGCGCAGCGAAGTAACATCAAACACCACGCCTGGACCGCCCTACCGACACACCTGGGGCGGGTGCGAGAGGGAGGGGAAGTACCTGCGAGGAGAGACGAAGGGGGGAGGGGGGGGAGAGGGATGGCAAGAGGGAGAAGGGGAAGGAACGATGGCAGGTGGGAGGAGTAATGATGAGGGAGGGAGACGGACGAGGAGGAAGGAGAAGGGGGAGGAGGCAGGAAGGGGAGCATGCCGTCTGCGAAGAGGGAGGGCCTACCTGTCCCGTCGGCGTCCAAAGCGTCGTCGT